CGTGATCCACGTAAGAGAGCGTCAGGCAGTGACCATCGCATCATCACGGACCCACGTTTGGTTTCGTCAGCAGCGAATCCTGCACTGGATTCACGCTTTGTCTCGGTATAAATTGATTTCTGCAGTCAGCTTTTCCTTCGTTTGATAAACATGCGCTGATGATCTCCGGATAAGCCAGTTTTGTAACAAGTATACACGTACGTTTACGCATGTGTGACTCATTATAAGGAGCTGAGATTTCTATCACTTTTCAGCCGAACGGTGTAACACACGCGTCAGCATCACTGGTGGAGCCACGTGCTGCTGTTGACGCGTTATATTCGGTATCGGTGCAACAGCAGCGTGCGAATCAAGCTCGTGATCAGGATCATCGTCTGCAGTCGTCTGCGTATCACGAGTCGTCAGCTGTTCACCACGTTGATGAACGTATCTCCGAAAGGACTGTTGGTGCAGAAGGAGGTCGCCGTGGTTGGATGTCCCAAGCACGAGCTACAATCGATCCTCGTCAAGTTAAAAGGTTTGAACTTCGAATGACCAAGTAGCTTCCTAAAAAATTTGTCGTTTGCTTCAGCTAATTGTATGCCTTTAAGATATGGAGCATGCTCGTACAGAAGTGAACAGATCAGCGCCGGAAGTAGCCAGGATCGTGATGAACGAGAGCTGAATCATGTCAAGCCAGAAACGAACACGTCGACAAATACGACAACCACAGCAGCGCCACAAGCTCCACTGTCGTTGCGTGAAAAACGCAAGAATAATGAATATGAAAGTCCACTAAGCCGAATTCCTGGGCCCACTCGGTGGACGTAAGGGAGGAGCACAGTGTATTCCCCAATTGATAGTGATCTCAGACTTCGTGTAAGTTGTGTCTCATCATGTCTGTGTTTATCTGATTGCCAAATCAGAACTGTCTTTCAATCAGACATCGATTGCATTGCATTTAGGATGCCATGTCCGGGACGCGCGTGTTTCTGGTTAATCGTTGTGTGAATGATGTGTGGAGATTCCTTTCTTTTGAGGTTGTTTGTGGCGTCTGTTCCTCAGAATATTACCTGACTCTATCATATGCTTCTCTACAGCGGAAATCGCAGGCGAGCTCGACATTGTGCATGTTTCCCGTTGTCCTTTGGATGCAGCAATAACTGTTCAAAGTTGTTGTTAACGGTGGCAGTCGCTGTGCTGGTTGCTCTGTGAGTTGTCTGTGCGGTTCATCATGTTGTCTTGTGAGCAACAATTCTACGGTTTTAGTATGCTTTTATATCTGTGTGTGTGTGTGTGTGTGTGTATGTGTTTGTCT